TCATGGGACATTTTCAATGTAATTTCTCTATTATTAATTTGGCAAGCGTTTGCTTTCTTCTAAGCTCATCCATTCTCCTGCCTTAACACTCCTTCTCCCTCCTCTAACGTCCCAAGCACTAAAGCAAAATAAATACAGAGTCACATGCTGTCCTCTGCTACACACATGCCACCACACAAGTCCAAGGAGGCTGCACAAAGGCATATGAAGACAGACCACAGCCAGCAGTGCCTACAGAGCTACCTTGTTTGCAGCTACATGAAAATACCACACACTGCCTACCTGAACATGGCTGATGAAAAGATCACTTTCAGACTGGTAAAGGATTTTTTCTCATTTGTTGCCCAATGAACTAATCATTTTAAAGAGACTTTATATATAGCTACCCAAACATATGAAGAGTTTCAAGCCTCATAACCTTGTTTATATAACATTTCCACCTGTTTGCAGTCCCTGATGATCCAGTATCAATACAGTGAAGAAACACGATTAGCAGTGAATAGCCAGCAGTGAACAGCCCCGAGTTTACAAAATCATACAAAGTAAAATACATCTTTAAACCTAGAAATCAAAACAACTAATTGGTAACCCTTTTGATTTGTCATTGTATAAGTACATGCCATTTTTTTTATTCAGTATCTCAGTGTATATTAACAGCTTAAATCACATAACTCATATTACCACTATAAGATGCTTTAAAAGCAAATTGAAGCACAAAACTATGAAGCAATGTATTCAGTACTCTATGACTGGTCAGCAGGAGAATTAGGATTAGGAATCACAATGCCACATGCCCTGCACTAGCCAGTAAACAACAGAGCAAGAAAACAAAACTAAATCAACAACAGATAATCCCACTTTCAGGATAAGAAGTCTCAAATTAGTCTGATGCAAAATGCCAAAACATCCCAAAATCTGTAGGTTTAACAAAAAGGCCATCTCAACTTTACTGCCGTTTTAAGTCAAAACCACAGAATAAAAGTAAATGTAAATACCTGCTTCCTGGATCTTGGTGACTGTCAGTAACAAGAGTGGATGGAACACCAACTTTTTCCATTATTTGCTTTAACTGGATGTGGTTGCTATTTAAACCCTAAAGAGCTATGTGAGATAATCCAGAGGGTGCCCAGAAGTGCTCACTCCAAGTTAAAAAATAGACACTAGGGCAATTTGGTGGCTCAGAGTCAACCTAGTTCTTGCCTAATTACAATCACGTTAAATGACAGTACTACTCCTCCAGAACAAATGACCTAGTCATTATCCTCTACCCGGAAAAGTCAACAAGCAGTGCACGAGGGAGGCGGCCTCACAACCACACACACTAAAGAAAAGCCACCTAACAGCTCCACATCATTTTATTTCCGAATTAAAATGTACATTGCCAATAGCACAGTAACGCAGTATCCTCTTACCAGTGACCTCTGCTAGAGAATGAATAACATCTAGCTTGTATATTAATTCATCTTTATACCTCATCTCCAACAGGTGCCAACAATGTTGTATAATGAGGTTTATGGCTGATAGTAACACTAGCTAACCAAAGTCTTAAAGCCATCAGAAATACCCTGAAGAGAAAACCTCGCTTCTCCCCTACAGATTTTTCTGATTCTTGCTGTTGCTTTTATAGCCCTTGAACTCCACAGCATAGCGTAGGTGTTCATACTTGCAAGCTTTGCTTACTTCATCAATAACCTCAATGCTCTTAATTTCTTAAGCAGCTATACAAACTGATCCAAACACCAAGCAAAACTTTGGGGAGGAAAACGTGTACAGGAGGAAAACAGGTATGAGAGGAAAACAGCTATAAATATTTAATTTTTCATGTTCTTGCCTATGGCATTCACACATGATTACGATATAGTCATCATACTCTGAGTCAGTATGCAATACACCAGCTAAACCAGTCTCAAATGGAATTTCTGCCAACAATATTACATGTTCAACATCCATCCATCCATCCATCAAGCATGATACAATAAGTGCGACACCTGAAAAAACACATTCCTACTATGAATGACCACAGTAAAAATTACTATCACAGTGACATCGTCAGAGCTAACTTTTTTATAAAGTTTTTTTCAAAGTTTCAAAGCCCATGAGAACTTTATTTAAGGTAAATTATTTTGCCTGTATTGGAAACTTTTCCCCTTATTTGATGCTGCTTCAACATTTACAATTCAAGCGTGTCAAACCTGGCATAGTTCATGAGCATCATCAATTTGTGTAGGTATCTCCAATGATACTTAAGCATGAAGCAAACAAACACTGAAACAAGTTTTTAAAATTTCACAATTCAGAAAACCAAGCATCATTAGCAGCATTTAAAAATCCCAATGAATGACTTTGAGCCTGACTGGGCTTCCAATACTGGTATCCAAAGCTAGCCCCAGTTGTGCTCATCTGTAAATGTGGCCCAGCTGCCAAGTTCCTTCAGCCTTCCAGATCAGAGCCATAAGAACATTGGGACCAGCTATAAAGTTAAAAAAATGTAAGTTTTAAATTCAGTGCTCTTTTTTGGGGGTGGTTTTTCTTTGTTTCTAGGTCAATTCAGATTTATGTTTTCACTTTTTTTTCTTTAGCTGCTAGAGTAAGAAGAAAAAGACAGAAAAAAAAAGAGATTGAAAGGGAAAGAAAAACAAAGAGAAAGAAAAAGGAAGGGAGAGAAAGAAAAGAGTCTTGACAATTAACATCTTGTCTTTTAGATCTCTCTTTTTCACAAAATTGACTGTGCTTCAGCGATATCCAAGAGTCAGAGCATACTTGGATCTCACTGAAACAAATGTACATTCTAGAACTGATGGCTGTGACCAGCACACATATTCTACATATGAACAATTATTAAAACACTAAAAAATGTAACCTAAAACAACAAGAGGAAATAACTTCAGTTGTATTCTATCATTTTAAGTCTGAGTTTATCTTGCAGCATCACATCTGTTAACACTAAGATCACAAAAAATACCAGAAATAGAAATCTGACAACACTGCCTCTGGAATGAGGTTGTTTCAGATTCTTACAATACTGGATTATCAAAATAACTCCCATGAAACTGGTACACCCAAGCCATTAATAGCGCAGATCTGTACTACAGTCTTGGCACCAGGTTCTCTCATTTTCTCCTGTTCACTCCCTCCCTCTCATTCCCTCCCTCTCTCTTACTTTTTAAAAGATGACAGTCATCTCAAAAACAAAAATGTGCCTCCCCTTCCAGCATTGTGCTTTCCACGAAAACCTGAACTGCTAGCAACATTTCTATTCGATATGTTTTGAGTAAGAGACTTCTAGATTTTAAAAAGGGGCACTTAAGCTTTATCACACGGTGATTTTGGACTACCAGATCCCATCTCCTAGTGGGAATCCCTCCTTTATATGAGCGCACTCTCATCTTCCATAAGGAAATTCTTTCTGAAAGTACAGATTTCTTACATGAGTAAGGGTGAACGTGATGAGGATTTGAATGTGTGAGCTCTTAAGGACAAGTACTGCTTCCTTGGGATCTTGTACAACACTTATCAGACTGTCAGCACCTAGCCGTAACAAATGTTGAGGTAGTATTCAGGGAAAAAAAAAAAAAATTGCCTTTGTGTGACTTAACATCCATCAGTTTAAATCAGGAGCAATACAGTTAAAGCTACAGGTAATATTATGACACAAAGGTAAATCTGTTGATGACTTCAAAAATGTGAGGATTTTTTGCCAGTGAATGACATAAAATGCCTCTCTTTCTATGTGCTATATATAGTTACATTGATTAGATACTTTCATATCTGACAAATCAGCTAACACAGAGACTTAAACAATGCTAGCATTTAAAACATGTACCAAAACATGTTCACTGGGAATCAGAAAGCTTCAGAAATACATCCCAGGATCCATTACTTAGCCTTAGACATCACATCTTGCACAACCTGGCCTATCAGATGATGCTATAGTGTTTTTCTCTAATTAGATTCCACTTGGAGAATCCAAAGATACCTAACGCTTCAAATACACTTCCTCAGAAATACCACCATATATGAATCACAAATGCAATGTGACATTTAAGCATGAGGTTGGGAAACTTGACTTCTTTTCCTGTTCCACTATCAGACATACGTCTCCCCAACTCCTGCTGAGTATATTCCGATCATCATAATGCATGACTTTTCATATTAAACAAGCAAAACTTTGAAGATACACCTCCCACAAACAGAACACTGACAATTTTATTTAAAAACCAAATTTTTATTTGATGTTGTTGTTTTTAACTCTGTAATGGTCCGGGCAGCTGATAAGGATACAGACTGCATCCATCTTTCATGCTCTACACCTGGAACCTTGGGAGCTGTGGGCTAAACTAGTGGCTCAACCAAACCTCCAAAGTAATCTTGCGAAAACAATCTAGTATCTGTACTTTAACTCTCAAACTACAAAACGCGTGTGATCACATTTCTGTTTTTCCATACTCTATCTTTTTTATTTAGACTGTAACTGTTTTAGCACAAAGATGATTTTAGGCACACCTACCACAGAAAATGATCTTGCCTAGTGCTTCTGCATGCTCCTGTGGTGCACACAATTAATCATATTAGATATAATTCTCAATCAATTTCTGATCTCATTTGACTTCTTCCTTATTTGCATTTGTGCATTCCAGTGTCTAAGGCTATGCTGTCCCAATGTGCACTGCAATAATTACAGTAACACTTCTGCCAACGAGTACTACTTTAACTTGTAAACTTTTACCCCAAAATCTAACTTGGATTAATCTTTTGACTGCAATAAGAGAGCATACCCTCACTCAATCTAGTACATGTATCTCAACTCTACTGTTTGTAAATTCCTGCAGGCCAATACCATAGTATCTTCTAAGTTCTCTTCTACTAACACTTCTGCAAGGAAAGTGAGAACAACCTTTCTGTTTAACCAACAAATGAAAACCAAGAAATGTAGGGTTTAAGCTTAGTTTACTTCCTTCTGCCTCAGCACTTCAGTTTTGGGGTTACTATGACTGACTTACCGGTGATAAGCTTCCCGGCGGTACTTTTTCAGAGCATGCCCATCCATGTTTGCAGGGAGATCTGCTGCATTCTGAAGTCGGTCACTCCATGAGGTTGTCATCTTCAAACACTTTTTTTTTTCTGAAAGAGACAGAAGACAAAAGCTTACTCAAGTTCAAGGTTCGTTAGACCTGAAAGTTGCCTGTTTCCTGGTATGTAGAGATGCAGTCAGTGCCACTCAGGAAGTCCTGCAAAGTACCCAGTGGAATGATCAGAGTTTGCAGGTCAAGTAAGATGCTCTTCTCTGAGATGTTTGATGAGATAGGGTGTTAAAGTAGTGAGCTAGTAAGGCTTTTCCACGTGGCTCAAACTGCAAAGACATTCCTGTCCCTTGTGGTGCAAATGCATTTAGAAACAGAGACCTTGTTTTCATTTCTGAAAAGGGGTATTTTTTGACCCTGGAGTTACTAATATGTGTTAGTTACATGTGATGGGAAACTTACCTTTTATACATGAGATAAATTAGGTGGGGCAAACCCTACAAACCCCAATGGCACTGACCTTGCCATTTTTACCACACAGTAGAAATAAAGAGCCTTTGCCCTGGCCATTTGTCTCCAAGAAAAGATAAAGCTTCAAACGGATGCTAAATTAGCAGAATCAATTGCAAGCAAAGTAGAAAGATGATCTTTTGTCCTCTGCAGCTCAGCCACATTCAGATAAAACAACAACATGATGCAAGCCTGTAACACTAGCAGTGCAAACATTCGTTAGCAGACCTTCATAAATATCTGCACCTCTTCTCAAGGCTGTCAAAACCTAACCTCAGGACAGTGCTTGTCAGGAAGGCCCTGCAGTGAGGAAACAGAGGTAGCTTTTCCCAATTGTGTTATTAGCACACAAGAGCAGTCCTGCTCACCTCCTCCAGCCAGACTCATGTCCTGCTCAGTCCCTGGCACCAAGTGGGATGGTGAAGCAATCCCATGGCAAGTCAGTTCAACTCACCAGTCCAAGTCCTCACCTGCCAAAACTAACTGGCCAAAAGCAAATAAAAACTGGCTATCAGGCTGAACTCAGCTCAACCTGTCACAATGCTATCATTAGAGCTGGTGCAAAGAACAGGGTAGGAGATGCATCCCACAGTTATACCAAATTAGGTATAACATGAAACCACTTTCTTGAGTAACCCACACAACTGCTGGACCACAGGGCTGGGCTTGTTTGCTCTTCCTTAAAAGAAACAAAACCACCCACAAGCTACACGGGTAATGACACAGCAACCATTTCTAGATAACTTTAAAATATGACTGCCCTCATTTTACAGAAGGGAAACAAGATGATTTCAGCAAAGTAAAGAGTAAAGTGAGTGTCCAAACCAGCATCAGAAGTCACAGTGCATTCGGCAGTCACATGCGTGCTTGCTCTCCTAGAGGAAATCTGTGTAATTTTTTTGTTTTCAATTTGATTCAAGAGGAACAGTTGCAGTTGTCACAGCATTTGGTAGTCTATTTACCTACTAGTTGCTGGTCATAAAAATCAAACAGACGGCAAACAGCTTGTCTGTAAAAAATATGTTCCTCCCTCCTCCAGCATTCTCTGCTTGTCTTCCAGTTACTATAACCAAGGTTTACTAATGCATCTTCTGCCACATCCTAAAGGTCACCAAATTTAGGCCCTGGCAGGCAGCCCAAGGGACTGCATGCCAGAGCTGAGAGCTCTCCCCCCCGAATTCCCTGCAGCACACCCAGGAGAGGAGGTCACCCCAGTGAGAAGGCAACGAGCCATTCCAGCCAGCCACAACTTCCACAACAGGGCATGCAGGGAGGACCAGCTTCTAAAATAGCCAAGGCCCCAGCTACCAGGGGCTTATAAGCAATTACCAGCTATTTAAGCCATGCCCAAAGGCAGATGGAAGGCAGCACAGGGCACAGAACTAAACAGCCCACAAACATCAACCTGTTCCACTTCAAAGGCCTGCAGCAACTCTTCCTCACAGGCAGCAAGAGCTGCAGCAGTCCATGGGAGAGAAGCAGTGCTCCTGCAAGACCAACAGACTCTACTCCAGTTCAGCAGCCAAGAGATGTACAGCAAAGTGAGGGATCTGGTATGACTCCAAGACTGCAAACTAGAGAAAGGGCTTGTGCCCACAGAGGGTGGGAAAGCATCTATGCCATGGATACCTCAAGACAGTCCAAATCATCACCATCTTGCTCTTACCTGGAGCTCTATTAAAGCTACTAACCTAGAGGTACAGGTTCAGATCCAAAACACACGTACATTTTAAGGCCTCTAAAGCACATATTAAATAGCTTTGAAAAAACTGTTGCATGGCTGGTCGTATGACTCTTAAGACAGTTCTGGATCTAGGTCTTCCAGCTGAAACAAGTCCAGATCCAAGCTTCCTGCTATTTAGAAGGGCTACACTATTCTGCTTACCCTGCCAGACACATAGCAAGACTCAAAGATTTACACCCACAGTCAAAGCCAAAGCCAGAGACTTTCCGTTCTGCCAGCGTCTTCTTCCTACCTCATCTGCTTCCCATCACCACCACACCACATCAGAGATGCTGACACGGGTACTATGACAGGACTGCTCCCAGTGGCCATCCATGCCAGACGTCTGATAGTTCACCAATAGTATCCTACAAAAAACCCTAAAATCCAGATGGCAGAAGAATTTTAACAGGCTACCTTTAATAACACTATTTCTAAAATTAGGAATCGGTGAAGCAGTTTGAGCTTCTGTATGATAAAAACCTCCTCTACAGTAGGAAAGACCAGACAGCATCATCTTGTCTGTGCTGGGATTCAAAAAAAGCTGTGACCTGAAGAAACCACAAAAATCTGAGTTTCCATAATTAAGAAAAAAAGGCCTGAATTTAATGATCCAGCAGTATTTTGCTGTAGCTGTGATGAACAGAGTTCATAGGCAGGACAAGGCTTGTAGACAGAGGCAATATCTTTTATTAGACCAACTGGTACGTCTGGAAAAAATAGACAAGCTCTTAGGCACATAAGCTTGTCTAACTCTATTGGTTGCCCTAATAAAAGATATTACCTCTACCTTCAGGCTTTGTCCTGATTTATTTATTAAAATCCTTCTTTCAGTGTTCACACAGCATAAAATATCTTATGCTGAAGTTTTGTATAACATGAACTCAAAAGCATTCTTACAGTTTAGCAGGCTCCATGTCACTCTTACAATAGCTTACTGCTCTGCAAGAAGACAGCAAAAACTGACAAAAGATACTGTGATGGGTGTTCCACACCCAAAAGTCTTACACAAAAAGTCTCACAGCCTTCAATGAAATTGTTCTGATGCTTCAAAGGTATAAAGATCAGACTACCTGCATGGGTAAGAGACATGGGACCTGATCCCTAAATACAAATTCCTTCTTCCAAATAGGGAGAGAAAAATAAGGACTGACTGCTCCAAACACTTGTAAGCCACTGGAATAAACATCTGAGAGAGTGGGCTGCCAGCCAGGCAAGATTCTCAACCCAAGCAACTGAAATATGATGCATCCTTCTTTAGTTACAAATCTATTTTTGAAATCAATAATCTGTAAATAGTTTCACATTAAAATAGAAATTTTTACATGGATAAAGCATGTCAGAATACCTCCCCATAATTTACTGCAAATGTGCTCCTTGCTAGTGCAGTCTTAATTAAGCATCTGATAGAATTTATGGTACAGGCTTCATCTGGAAAAAGTGTTTAAAAATCTCAGCTTCAAAGCTTTGATACAGAGCTACTATCCAACACATACACTTTGGTCCAAAAGAACGTGAGAGTTTTAGCACATATTTTGAAACAAGTCTATTTGCTTATTTTGTCAGATTTTTGGCTAATTTCAATTATTATCCATAATGTATTTTTTTTCAGGTAAACTCATATGTACTCACACATATAAAATAACAAGTCCAGAAGCATTCCCCTAATTTTAGTATTTTATTTTTCTTATCTTTTTTGGCCAACAAATAGAGATTTCTGCACCTGAAAATACTCATTGTGTTCAGGTTAAATGCACTGCCTGTATGTTTTTCTGAGTTTAACACTGATAATGCAATGCCAAATCAGAGGCACACACTCTAAAACTTAGAGATGAACAAAATAGCAGTGACAATCTCACTTTTGCCATGATATTCTCCGAGAGCTTATACAGCAGAAAACAAAAGCATCACTAACCAATCCCAAGGTTATAGTGTACTCACACCGACGAGCCATGCACTACATCTGCCTCTTCTCACACGTTCTGCTTCAAGAATCACTAATATCTTGTCAGTACCACCCACACATACGTGCACAGTGGAAAGTAAAGAGAAAGGAAAATCATCACACCTAACGCTAGCTACTTAAAAGCTTCTCATATAGTCGGAGGCTGTGCATGCACAGACAAGTCTCGTGGTGCCCTTGCCAAGCCCAGAACAGTTCCCAGCTCCCCACTGCAACACTGCTCCATCTCAAGGAGTTTTGTTGGGTCTCATCAAGGGACGAATGAACCATGTTAAAATCCTGAGGAAGGGAAAAGCAGAGGGAGCAGGATTAAGGTTGGCTTGTTCAATACTCCTACCAAATTCCTGGTCCACATAATGGCATGGCCTCACAAACAGGGCAGGGGAAAAGCATCTTTTTTCTGCAGCTGAGAAGACTGTCCACATAAGGGTGGTTAAGAAAACTGAGTAACTTACTTTCTGGGAGCATCCCTTTCCCTCTGCCGAGGGCAGAAGTAGCTCACCCATAGTTTAGGCTAGACATCAGGAGGTGGAATCCACTCAGGTTAGCATCATATCCTCTGGAGCATCTGACATCCTGGGATGGACTGCAGAAAATGGGCCAGTGTCATCACCCTCAACAGCATCTCCTACTGCTGCTGTGCAATCAGGGGCCAGGCAGGCTTCTGGCCTCACCCAGAAGGAGACCTCTGACACCTGTGATCCCAAAGCGCTTCACAAACTCTTGTTCACACAATACACTTAGGGGCAGCAAAAGGTGGGGCCTTGTTTTGTCAGCTAAGGATAGTGAGGCACAGCGAAGGTAATAACACAGATCTCACGGGAATCAAATGCAGAAATCCTAATTCTTCAGTTCCTGTGCTAAAACTCCGCCTGAGCTCCTAA